GGGGGTCGTGAAGGGAAACGGGGGCTGCTTTGGGGGTCGTGAAGGGAAATGGGAACTGCTGTAGAGGTCCTGAGGGTAAATAGGGCTGCTTTGGGGGTCGTGAGGGAAAATGGGGGCTGCTTCGGGGGGCCGCTCCCCATCCTGACATCTCCTGCTCCCTCAGTGCTGAACCTGACGCTGATCGACCTGCCGGGGATCACCAAGGTGCCGGTGGGCGACCAGCCGCAGGACATCGAGTTCCAGATCCGGGACATGATCCTGCAGTTCATCGCCCGCGAGAGCAGCCTCATCCTGGCCGTCACGCCCGCCAACATGGACCTGGCCAACTCGGACGCGCTCAAGATGGCCAAGGAGGTGGATCCGCAGGGTGAGCGGCCCGGCCCGCGCCTGGGGTTGGCCAGTTTGGGCCCGGTTTGGGCCCGGTTTCACCCATTTGGGGCCCGGTTTGTCCCCAGTTCTGGCCAGTTTTGTCCTCAGGTTTAGGCCCGGTTTGGTTCAGTTTAGGTCTGGTCTGGGCCTAATCTCAGGCCCGGTTTTGCCCAATTTGCAGCGGTTTTGGGCCAGATTTGCTCTATTTGGCCCAATTTGGGGCCAGTATTCCCCAGTTTGGGGTCAGCTTGGGCCCAGTCTGACTGAGTTTGGGCCCAGTTTGGCTGAGCTTACCCGGGTTTTGGCCAAATGTTGCCAAGTTTCGGTCATTGTCGTCCTCAGTTGGCCCAGCTGTGGTTTGGTCTGGGGCCCAGCTGCAGACTGGTTCGGTGCTGCTTAATTAGTTCGGTGTCCTAATTGCTCGTTTGCGGGCGCTGCAGGCCTGCGGACCATCGGTGTGATCACCAAACTGGACCTGATGGATGAGGGCACCGACGCCCGGGACGTGCTGGAGAACAAACTGCTGCCGCTGCGCAGAGGTACTGGAGGGCTCCGCTCTGTGACCTTCCAGGACCTGTCCAACCCAAACAGTCACTGGGTTCTGGTCCTGAAGAAACTCATCCAACCCATTCTGTGGTTCCCTGGCCCTTAAGGACTCTTCCAACCCCACCATTTTGTGATTCTGTGACCTTTAAGGACCTTCCCAACCCATCCCACAGTTCCACAGTGTTTAAGGACCCTTCCAACACGACCATTCCATGATTTTATGATCTTGAAGGACCTTCACAACCCACCCCATGATTTTGTGACCTTTAAGGTTCCCTCCAACCCAACCATTTTGTGGTTCTGTGATCCTGAAGGACCCTCCAAACCCACCCCATGATTCTGTGACCTTTAAGGACCCTCCCAACCCAACCATGTTGTGGTTCTGTGATCCTGAAGGACCCTCCAAAACCCATCCTATGATTCTGTGACCTTTAAGGACCCTCCCAACCCAACCAGTTTGTGGTTCTGTGATCCTGAAGGACCTTCCAAACCCACCCCATGATTTTGTGACCTTTAAGGACCCATCCAACCCAACCAGTTTGTGGTTCTGTGATCCTGAAGGACCTTCCAAACCCACCCCATGATTTTGCGACCTTTAAGGACCCATCCAACCCAACCATGTTGTGGTTCTGTGATCTTGAAGGACCCTCCAAACCCATCCTATGATTCTGTGACCTTCAAGGGCCCTCCCAACCCAACCATGTTGTGGTTCTGTGATCTTGAAGGACCCTCCAAACCCATTCTATGATTCTGTGACCTTTAAGGACCCATCCAACCCAACCATGTTGTGGTTTTGTGATCCTGAAGGACCTTCCAAACCCACCCCATGATTCTGTGACCTTTAAGGACCCTCCCAACCCAACCATGTTGTGGTTCTGTGATCTTGAAGGACCCTCCAAACCCATCCTATGATTTTGCGACCTTTAAGTACCCTTCCAACCCAACCAGTTTGTGGTTTTGTGATCCTGAAGGACCTTCCAAACCCACCCCATGATTCTGTGACCTTCAAGGACCCATCCAACCCAACCATGTTGTGGTTCTGTGATCCTGAAGGACCCTCCAAACCCATCCTATGATTCTGCGACCTTTAAGGACCCTTGCGACCCAACCACCCCGTCGTTCTGTGATCTTTAAGGACCCTCCCACCCCATTGCAGGATACATCGGCGTGGTGAACCGCAGCCAGAAGGACATTGATGGCAAGAAGGACATCCGTGCGGCGCTGGCGGCCGAGCGCAAGTTCTTCCTGTCGCACCCGGCGTACCGGCACATGGCCGACCGCATGGGCACCCCGCACCTGCAGAAGGTCCTCAACCAGGTGGGCAGGGAAGGTCCTCAGCCTTTGGGGGGCTGCGGGTGGTGGTGGTTTGGTGTTTGGTGCCCAGCTGTGGCTGTGCTGGCTGTCCTTGTCCTTCTGTGCTCATTTGGTGCCCAGCTGTGGCCATGCTGGCCGTCCCTGTCATTCTGTGCTCATTTGGTGCCCAGTTGTGGCTGTCCCCATCCTTTCTGTGCCCATTTGGTGCCCAGCTGTGGCTGTTCTGGCCGTCCCTGTCCTTCTGTGCCCATTTGGTGCCCAGCTGTGGCCATGCTGACCGTCCCCGTCCCTTCTGTGCTCATTTGGTGCCCAGCTGTGGCTGTTCTGGCCATCCCTGTCCCTTCAGTGCCCATTTGCTGTCCAGTTGTAGCCATGCTGGCCGTCCCCGTCCCTTCTGTGGCCATGTGGTGCCCAGCTGTGGCTGTTCTGGCCGTCCCTGTCCCTTCAGTGCCCATTTGCTGTCCAGTTGTAGCCATGCTGGCCGTCCCTGTCCCTTCTGTGCCCATGTGGTGCCCAGCTGTGGCCGTGCTGGCCGTCCCCATCCTTTCTGTGCCCATTTGGTGCCCAGCTGTGGCCATGATGGCCGTCCCCATCTTTTCTGTGCCCATTTGGTGCCCAGCTGTGGCCATGCTGGCCGTCCCTGTCCTTCTGTGGCCATTTGGTGCCCAGCTGTGGCTGTTCTGGCCATCGCTGTCCCTTCAGTGCCCATTTGCTGTCCAGTTGTAGCCATGCTGGCTGTCCCTGTCCTTCTGTGCCCATGTGGTGCCCAGCTGTGGCCATGCTGGCCGTCCCCGTCCCTTCTGTGCCCATTTGGTGCCCAGCTGTAGCCATGCTGGCCGTCCCCGTCCCTTCTGTGCTCATTTTCTCCCATTTCTGTCCCCTCTTCCTCTCCCCCCCCCCCCAGCAACTGACCAACCACATCCGGGAGACGCTGCCGTCGCTGCGCAGCAAGCTGCAGAGCCAGCTGCTGTCCCTGGAGAAGGAGGTGGAGGAGTACAAGAACTTCCACCCCGACGACCCCACGCGGAAAACCAAAGCCTTGCTGCAGTGAGTGAGGGGGGCTGGGCTGGGGGGCTCCGCGCCGTGGGAGGGGGCATCTGCCTTCAGTAATTGGGGCCTGCGAGGACCTGTCCAACACAAGCCCTGCTGTAGCCCTGTGACCTTCAAGGACCCTGGGCATTTGATGGCTCTGTGATTGTCAAGGATGTGTCCAACCCAACCCGTTGTACAGTTCTGTGACCTTCAAGGACCCTTCCAACCCCGCCCATCCTATGGTTGCATGATTCTGTTATCTTTGAGGACCTTTCCAACCCCGCCCATCTCTGAGGACTTTTCCAACCCAACCCATTGTATGGCTTC